GTGTGCTTGGTTGTCTGTCTCTAAGTGTAGCCCTGTGATAGACTGGTTACCTGTCCAGGGTGTCCCCTGCCTTCACCCTAAGTCAGCTGGGATAGGCTCCAGCCCCCCCACGACCCTCGTGAGGATTAAGCGGTGTATAGATAATGGATGGATGGATGGTAGACTTGCAGTTCCTTAGATGACTTTAGGGTTTTTAAATATTCATGGTTTAGATCCCATTACAGATCACTGCGGTAAAAATTTAAACACTGGATTTTATCTATGCTTTCTCGTATTAAGTTCCAACACAAAAACATGCATTAAAGCAATGCATTTGACGTCCCTGTTTTCTTGAGATGCATAGCACAATCTTAAATGATTTACTCCTCAATAATTTGCATTGTAAATCTGATTGTTTATTTTTTTATTTTTTTATTCAGTGACTGCAAACAATGAAAAATACCAATTTTCAAAGTCAGATTAGTGAGAACATGTTGCATAATAATCTGCCAGTTTCTTAGCCAGTTTGTCTTGTTAAACTTTTGTATGATACCTTCACTAAGGAGCCTTCATCTGATGATTGTGATATCACTGACATGATAACATGAACAGTGAGAAGACAAAAAAACAGAAAACAAAACTAAAAAAACAGTTGGAGGAGGAAGTACAACAGGGTGTTGTTTATTCTTTGTAAATTATTTGTTGGTGTGAAGACATTATAGTGTGTTCATACTTAGTGGTGTATTCTGTACTGAATAAAATATTTGACAGATACATCACTGTGCGCTGTGTTTTACTGTTTAGAAAGCAGTACACTTCAGTGAAGAAAAGGTTAAAGCGAAACCAGAGAAAATGCTACGACATGTAATTCATCCTATGCAGAACAACATAACACAGACTGACAAATCTCAGTCTGTTTTAAGTGATGCAAAGGTATTCAAGTTTATTGTGGCAACATAAAGCTGAGAGTTCAGAGATACTGTGCCAGCCAACGCACCGCAGACAGGGTCACTGCAGCCTGCGAATTATCAGAAACAGCCTCATTGTGTGGACAGATCTTAGATATGAATGCAGCAAACGGGTCATAACCTGATGAGGAAATGAACAATTCAGTTGCTTCAGTCAGCAGCAAACAAAGACATTCAGTTAGTGACAGAATGTGTCATGGTTAATCAGACAAAAGGACAGTGAATGAAAGCACTAGGTGGAATTTTTTCAAAAGAAATTGATATTTCATTATTTTTTTGAGCTCCTCTATGAAAAAACACAGAATTTTCATGTTTTGCTGCACAATGCGTCAGTCTGTCGCAAACCACACACTCTGCTGCTTTTCAGCGAGTGGTTCAGACTTCAAACTTCTTACTGAAAGCACTGAATGTGAAAACTTATTAACCATCAAGGGCAAACTTCACTGCTGTATTGTAGACAGTTTTGAAAGCTGCAAAAACAACCTGGCGACCTGGTCAAGCAAGAAAAAGGAGCCAGCAAGCTGTAAAGAAACAGTTTGCTGCGACCTTCGGTGAACAGATTACAGAGGACTCACACATGGAGCAGAATACAAAAGGCTTAACAAGCTGAATCCAATGTACAGCAGACAGACGTACACATCTACAACCCTGTGTTGCCTTTTACATCAAGGTTGTCACTTATTCTCCTTTCAGTCACCTGGGTTAGGACCCAGGACCCAACCTTTAGCTACAGCAGGAACATCACGACACATCTCAGCGACCCAATAAGCCAATGATGACTACAGGGAAATTGAGTGAGGCCGCATCTGTTGTCTCAGCTCTTCAGAACTCTTCATTTATCTTGCTGCATTCATGACATGTACAATAAGGAGCTGTTTGGAGCTCTGCCATATGGTTCATATACACCAGTGCACATGCGGGGAAGTGAGATGTTCTCCACATGGCTGAAAGAGCTCAAAAAGGGTAAAAACCTTTCTGTCGTTTGGGAGCAATATCAGTCAATGTCCTGTGCAACATTTTTCAAATGTACCTTTATTAAGGTGACTTCAATATACAAATGCAGACAGTAATTATGGTAAAACTGTATTTACATATCACATTAGGCATTACTTACACTACAAATTCTCACTGAATTCCAAGAAAAGTCCTACTTGATATTTCTTTTTTTATCATTAGCCGACAACCTTAGAATTCCATAAATACATACTGAACTCAGATTGAAACTTGGCAAATTGTTCACTTTGCTGTTGTAAACTAAGTTTGTTTGCTATAGAAAAAGACCCACAAGCCTGTACTGATGCATTTCATGAGTATACTTGATTAGAGTTTTATTTTCCAGCAATTTTTGACTAATCCTTTCAGGCGAATGTCGTCAGAAAACACAATGTCTCACAATGCTGCATGATCAGTGATTTGTCTGATTTTTTTTAACTTTGAGTTGTTGTGACCATTCCAGTGGTCTCAGATGTAGAAATAGTTCTCAGCAGCTTCTCCACTTTCTGCCATTTCGCTCACCTGCTTGTTTATTGACTCCTGCAGTGATCCCAGAGAGAGTTCTAACACTGGACTGGTCTCTGTGCTTGAGGAGACCTGTGGGATCTCCAGGAGAACATCAGATGGCTCTGCGTCAACTAACTGCTCCCCGTCACTCAGGCTTAGTCTGTATGCGCCTTCTGTCTCTGCAGCCGCTGTTTCCTTAGTGACAGTTTCCAAGGCAACCTCCTCGGTAGGTGTGTCCTGCACTACCGCAACATCCCCTGCTCCGGAGACCTTGAGTGCGGCCAATCTCTCAATCTCTTGAACTAGTTCCTCATTGTGCTCCTTCCACTGGCGGTACTTTGAAGCCGTCAGATCAGAGTCGTCCAGGATCTTGCTGATCTGCTGCAACTCTGCTTCTCTGGCCTGCAGAGCAAAAAAGAAATAAAAAATAAAAGCTTTGTTGATTACGCAACTAGTGCTAAGTTTACTTTTACTTTACTTGTAGTTGCATGAGATTGATGGATTTGAAAAGGTGACTGAAGCGATGTGTTAGATTCAACCTAACAAACTGGATACGACTTTGCTCCTCACCTTCAGAGTGCTTTGCAGAGCACGGAGTGTGTGCGCCTTCTCGTTGATGACAGGGTTCTTGTTGCGTCGGATGAATGACTTCCTGAAGTGGTCGTGCGTAAACGGCTGCTCGTGGCCGATCAGAGAAACTCCTCCTTCCTTTATGTTGTTTAACAACATTCCCATTTCATCTACTGGGACGCCTTGTCATGGGAATGAGGGAACAGGAAAGGAAAAAGTGAGAGCAGATAAAGATGGAAGAATGAGAAGATGGAGGTAAACACCAAAGAGGCAAGTAGGGCTGATATCAACTATCTATTTGCTGAGAGTTGACCAAAAATAAAAGGGGTAAAGTCAAGAAAACAACACATCACAATGAATATTTCTTCTATTGCTATGTCCAATCATACATCTATGAGAGAGACTGTGTGTGCAGTGTACTGATTAAAGAAATTTTTACTTGAGAGGTAAATAAGAAAGAAAGATGAAAACCAGAGTCATAGGACACATACCTGTTCCTTTGCTGCCCTCTGTTGAAGGACTCATTATTGGCATCTTGCTTGTCTTCCCCTTGGGGCGAGGCAGAGTGTGGCACTGAACCTTCTGAGACACAACAAAAAACATGATATTAACACTAATCTTAATAGCACGCGTGTACTTGTTTTTTTGTTTTTTTTTTGTATTTGCGTCCCTCAAAGCGCACTGACCTTGTTTCTCCTGCGAGGTGACGGAGACGATTCGCCCTCTGATTCAGTTTCGCTGTAGTATTCTGTTCAAAACAGCAACACAGGTCATGTCAAGTCAATGACATTACCTCGAATGTGTGGCACTTTTAACTTTTCAGTCATTTCTCACTGGCTGGCAGGTAACCATAGCAACTGTAATTATGCCTCCTATGTTAGCAGTTAACTGTGCCTGGTGAAATTCTCACAACCGTGATTATGAGACTACAATTATCAATAAATATATGACTGTAATTTACTTTATTTTTTTTGCCAGCGGAGTAAAAAATCTTCACAATGGTTTTGGTATACTTTATTATGCATCGTTGCTAATGTAGAAGAAAATATGTGTACAGAGTTACAGGTGAAAAAATGCTAAAATAGTTGGAGTAAACAGGTAAAAGTATAAAGATATTTTTTCCACACCTTCTTCACTGTCTGGGCCTCTCAACTTTTTGTGCTTCTGTATGGCTGTAATCAGACAGTTAATCCACCTAAGGGGGGGAAAAATGACAAGCTATGTTAAAAATATAGATATATGTCAACAATAAGACCAATGTAAGCTTTACTACAGCAATGTTTATGATTAGGGCACCAAAACTTTAGATTTCCAAAGAACTAATAATAATTTCCCACAGTGTGAAAGCAGGATCCCTAAAATTAAACTGCAGGGGGCAGTGCAGACCAACAGCAGTTACAGTATGTTTTAACATCACTAATACACTCAGTTATTGCAAAAAAGAAAGAAAGAATGAATGACAACATTTCAGTGAAGCTGGTGCACCAAACAACCAGAAAATCCTGATCTTTTTTGTCTATCATTACACATGATGCCGTTAAAATTTGTTTTATTTTAGGATTTATAGTTCATATGTCAACCAACTTACTTGCCCATGTCGCTGACGTGATCAGCGGCAAAGAAGAAGTTCTGAAACTTCCGGTGGCACATTTGGAATACACTGACGGAGAGAGAAGAAAGTAGGGGAGGAGTTACCATCATCAAAGTGAGTCAGAGAGATATTAAATCACACACATGCAAACATGCACACAATAGTGAATAGCGATAATGTTCTACAAAGTCACAAGATAGATGACACACTTTGTAGTTGAGTTTGAAATAGGGAAAAAAAAAAAAAAAAGGTTTTATTTTACACAGTTTCTTGCATCACGTACACAGTATGATGTGTAAGCTGCAGACAGATCCTTCTCTGTGTGCAGGTACAATAAAGCTTCTGTTTCACACAAAAGGCCTGAAATAGCTTTTCATTATGACACCCTATCTTTCAAAAACTCCACACATTGCCAGACAGGATGCTTTAAAAAAAGGGTGTTGATATGATCTATCAAGTGAGTTTGTGCTTACTATTTTCTTTTGTGCTCTCCGGCACTCTCTATACTGTAGCTGGCTATATTGACCAGACCCTCCGCCTTCTCATCCTGAAGAAAAAAAGACACACAAAATACAATCAAAGGAGGCTAGATATAAGACTGATGAAGTTGAAAGCAACGTATTCTAATAATAATTACTGTATTTGGCTCCTACTAATGAAAAAGACCACTTATATCATGTTTCTGGGAGAAATTCAATCACAAGCAGTCACATCTGAAAATACATAGTATATTAAAGCACTAAAAATATATCCCAATAAAATGTTAAAACAATACAAGGAACTTTTTTCGCCTACCTGTTGGCTGGTGTACCAGTAAAGACAAGGCCCCTTGAGGACAAACCAGAAGCGTTGCCACTTCTGGGCGAGGAAGACGCTACTCTCCCTTCGTTTCTTCCAGAGCCAGCCATCGCAGTCGGGATGACCCAACTCACGGCAGGACACACGACGTCGACTCAGAGCCGTCGTCATTCCTGAGAGGACCAAAGGATGAGACGAGGAAAGGGGAGGATGATGAGTAAATTCAGTTTCTGAGTAGTTCTTGGTTTTGATGAGTCCTTATCCCAAAACGTCTTTGTAGTTTCTGAGTGAGTTACAATAGATGTAAGAGACAGACATTTTTACGGTGAGATGATTTAGTCTTGATTTTGGATCCCTTCTAAATTAGTCTTTGCTTTTTCTGCCTATCTAGACATATTTATTTTATTTTGAAAAGTAGACTGATATCCAAGGTATACAGTAGTGTTGCACAGGAAGTCCCTAATACTTACATACATTAACTACTAGTAGTAAAAATCTTATTCACTTATTAGTGCAAAGACAATTACAAATACTTGTGCAGTTAGCTTCAGTGTCTGTACTGATTACAGTGATATTCTGTCCTGCCCTGTCATTACACATGTGGACACAACTATTGGTACCCCTTGGTTAATGAAATAACTTGAATCTGACAAAAGTAATAATAAATAAAAAAATCTGTGAAAAATAGCCAATGAAAATCAGACATTGCTTTTGAACAGTGGTTTAACAGAATTATTTCAAAAATCAACTCATGACACAGGCCTGGACAAAAATGGTGGTACACTTAACTTAATATTTTGTTGCACAACCTTTTGAGGCAATCACTGCAATCAAATGATTTCTGTCACTGTCAGTGAGACTTCTGCACCTTTCAGCAGGTATTTTGGTCCACTCCTCATGAGCAGACTGCTCCAGTTGTCTCAGGTTTGAAGGGTACCTTCTCCACAGATGACACCTTGTGCCAGATGCAGCAAAGCAGCCCCAGAACATAACAGAGCCTCCTCCATGTTTCACAGTAGAGACAATGTTCTTGTCTTGATATGCTTCATTTTTGCATCTGTGAACATAGAGCTGATGTGCTTTGCAAAAAAAAAGTTCCAGTTTTGTCTGTCCATAAGACATTCTCCCAGAAGCTTTGTGGCTTGTCAAGATGCAGTTTGGCAAATTCCAGTTTGGCTTTTTTATGATTTGTTTTCAACAATGGTGTCCTCCTTGGTCGTCTCCCATGAAGTCCACTTTGGCTCAAACAACGATGGATGGTGGGATCTGACACTGATGTACCTTGACCTTGGAGTTCACCTTTAATGTCGTTAGAGGTCATTCTGGGCTCTTTTGTTACCATTCAGATTATCTGTCTCTTCCATTTGTCATCAGTTTTCCTCCTGCGGCCACGTCCAGGGAGGTCGGCTACAGTCCCGTGGATCTTAAATTTCTGAATAATATGTGCAACTGTAGTCACAGGAACATCAAGCGGCTTGGACATGGTCTTGTAGTCTTTACCATTAACATGCTTGTCTATTTATAATTTTCTTTCTAATCTCCTGAGACAACTCTCTCCTTGGCTTCCTCTGGTCCATGTTTAGTGTGGTCCACACCATGTCACCAAACAGCACAGTGACCACCTGTAACCCTATAAATAGGCTGACTGACTGATTACAAGTTTGTAGACACTTGTGATGCTAATTTGAGGACACACCTTGATTGAACATGTCCCTATGGTCAGATTATGTTCAGTCTTTTCTTGGGGTACCATCATTTTTGTCCAGGCCTGTTTCATGAGTTGATTTTTAAAATAATTCTGTTGAACTACAGTTCAAAAGCAATGTCTGATTTTCATTGCTTAATTTTCATTGAATTTTTATTTATTATTACTTTTGTCAGATTCAAGTTATTTCTGTGACTATTGTGGGTTTTTCTTTCATTAACCGAGGGGTACCAACAATTTTGTCCACATGTGTACCTCTCTACGGAGCATAATGCTTTATCACTAATGACAAATTCCAGCATTCTTCTCTACACATCACGCAGTTGGGTGGACTTCTGCACAGACAAAGAGAAATATTAGTCTAATTATAATCCTCCTCTGGAGCTTCCAAACAACCTCGACTCTCTTCTCACATTTAAATTTTGTAACTATGGAGCACAATCCAGTAACCACTTGTGCTTAGATGCTCTTTGCATTCTCCACTAACCTTGGTAGAACTTGTTCCAGATACTTATGTGCCTTTTAAATGAAATATATCACTCTCAAGTTGGATTTTTTTAATACACTCTGCAGACTTTAACGCTTCTTTATACGATGTTTTCTTTGACTTTTGGTCATTCTTGTATCTGACCTAACTAACATGGAGTTGTGCTGTGTCCAAATGCTGTTTCAGTGCTTGTCTTGTTCAGAATTTTTATGGTATTAAATACAGTTTTAAATAATAAAAATAATAACCAGTTATTATTTGCTTGGCTGTTTGAGAATCGAATTTCTCTTCTTTTTTCTTTTGGTTTTGAGATGCTACAAGCCTGTTGTGAACTCAGCTTTATCTGATTTTTGAACTGATTTTGAGTTTACATGGATGACTTTGGTATATTCTTAAGTGCTTTGTTTACGTGATTATTTTGTCACAAAAATCGTACCTTTAGTAGAGCTCTTCTTTGTGTCCTTATTCCCCTGAAAAGATAACCAGACTGAGATCATTCAGTGCTTCAAATGTAGTTTGATTTAGTCCCAATCAACTGATTTAAACATTCTTCTTCCCCACTCACTGTGTGTCCCACCATTTCAGGGCAGGAGCTGATGCTGGCTGTGTCCTGGTTGACTCCTTTAGGTGATGGACTTCTGAATGAGTCAAAACTCAAGGGTGAAGGAGTTCTGGGTGGGGTGGTTCTGGGTGAGCTACCAGGGAGTCTCGGGGAGAGTCGTAGATGGTCCAAACTCTCGAGCTCTCCTGAAAAACAGACAATGCAGGTGAGGAATAAACCTGCATCTGCAAAGAGATGTCAAACTGTGTGCCTCAGTTACATTACATTACAAACTTTATCTATATAACACACCCTGATGATGCACACTGGTGTGCTGAATCCGTGTCAGGAGTCAGTGATCTACACTAATTACTCCTTTATAGAATGAACATCACGTTACATAGGTTACAAATCCTGTAAGAGTTGACCGAACAATCACTCTGACCAGTTTTTCATTAAATGAGCAATTTGACTGAGTAACTCAACTCAGCTGTGCACTAAAACCGAACACCCTGGTCCACCAGCACCTATACACACCTCCTACAGTATGTCACAAATGTGAGTAATCAGAGAGTTCTTTGCCATGAGGTGCCACGTTAAACTTCCAGTGACCAGCATGAGAGAGTGTGAGAGCGATAACACCAAATTTAACACACCTGCTCCTCATTCACACCTGAGACCTTGTAACACTAATGACTCACATGATGGAAAGTGGCTAAGTGGGCCCAATTTGGACTTTTGCACTGTAATTGCACATTTTTTGTACATTGTTCTCAATGTTCTCAAATGCTCAAAAATCTTTCACCTGCCTTAAATAGTCATGAAATGAGCCAGTTTAAAGTTACTGAAATTAAATATCATGAGCAGTCAAACAGTGTAGCAACAACCTGCTCAGTGATCAGTAAAAGTAGGGGGGGGATAGCCTTCAATTTTGCAATGGTAGTCTCATCACTCATTGTTGACTTCATATCAAGAGCAGTGGGGAGCATGAGATCCTCAGCTATTGAATGTGGTTTCTTGCCCTTGGCGATTCTGCTACAGGGCTCCAGACTAACTTTTCCAGTGGTAGCACTGGTGCTACCAACTTTCTTCTTTGGTCGCACCAGCTAAAGATTTGGTCGTCCCACTCCCTCATTTGGTTCAGCATTAATGCACCATGTATGCTGATGAATAGTTGTTTTTGCATAACTTAGTTATGTTGCAATGATTTTCAGTGATAAAAGACTAGATATTTGTAAAATGTTTTAACCTTAAAATATATTTATTTTGTCACCAATCCTCTTCTAATATCAGTCACTAATTGGACACAGTCTAAGCAATTGCTGAAAATGCCCATGGGCACATGCTACATTTACCGATGTTGCCTAAATGCCTCACCTGCTGCCCCGGTAGATGCTACCAGGTGTCTGCAGTGCAGCTCCTCTGACAGGTGAGCAACCAAACATTTGAGGGAAAAACAGTGGAAAGTGTGCTCTACACAAAATTGCCCACGTTGAAAAGTTTTCTATTAGCAGTGTTTTTAGCAGTTTTTTTTTTTTTTTTTAAATGAACGGATTTTTCTACGAAGTGAGCGCGTTTTAAATGTCCATACCAATGGCCATCATGTTTTTAGAAAAACTGTAATCGCTGTTAAAATGTGAATCTGGGGGGCGCCACAACTTGCAATGCAGATCATTTAAGCTTACACTGACAAAATTAACACTGCCCCGGGGTCCACCCCCCCACACACTGTTATCTTAGCCACCCTCAAAGACTGTTTTTCCAATAATAAAAACTAAAAGGAAGGTTCTGGCACCAAATGGGGATTTCAGGTAAAGAGAAAACATTCTGCATGTTTCCAACCTGAGGTTGACAGAGGTGACAGCCACCCCTGCTGGTTTTGATAAGTTAGAGTCAGGCTCCCTTCCAGCTCCTTGTCAGTGGCCAACTCTGATTCCTCCTGTCCCATAGGCTGCTGCTGTACCTCTGGCCCGTGGATAGCTCGCCTGTAACAATAAAAAAGGAAATATCAGTCAAAGAAACTCACATGTGGGAGCCTGCAAGAGTCCACAACATTTAAGATTTGAGAATCAGCAGTCAAAATATGTGCAATATCCACAATAAGAATCTATAATTGAACATGGCGGTGATGAAAATGTGACCACACTGCCACAAAATACAGTGAGTTGTCACTTCTACCGACTTTAAAGTCAAGCTTTATATGTTCTTTTCAAGACATGACATATAGCTGCAAAGTTTCTCCTTGTTTTTGTGTCTCAGAGTGAAGCTGTAGTGTATCAGGACAAGACAGAATTATTTACAACCATAATGCGCCATCTCCGCCCACTCCCTGCATTTGTCAGAGTCTGCCTGCTCCTCATCAGCTCTCACTGTCTCTTTTTGCCTCTCCATCACTCTCTTTCCTCCCTTTCTCCAATTTTTACCCCCCCCGTGTTTGTATCTTTCTTAATCTTCGCTAAAACTCCCTCATCTATTCATCTCTCCCCTCATTGCTTCCTTTGCTCTCATTTCCAGTCAACCGTGGGTTCTGCTCAGCAGAATTTATGGCATTTTGCAGTGTGACTTCATTGTAAACCCACCGGGTACTGGCAGACTGACAAAGTCAGAAGGGTTCAAGGGAGTAAATCCTTAGTAACTCAGTGAACCAAACCTATGTCCAAACTGCAAAGTGTTACGCTGATCAACAGACTTGCTGGTTGCACATTCCCACAGGTATCAGATATTTCAGAAGTTAAAACACTTGATTTTCACATCAGAAAGAGAACGTGTTCGGGATCACAGATGCAGGCATTAGACACTACATTGACAAGATAATTAGCTTTTGAAGAGGCTGTCTACAATTTTAAACTTTTTATATTTTTATGCTGTGTAAAGGCACTTTGTGAAGCTTTCTTCAAAACATAGTAAGTTCTCTTTCCCACCAAAGTGCTTTGTGTGCATCAATGACAGCTAAGAAACCTGTTGAATGCACTTTCTTTGTCAGGAAAATTTAAACCTGCATTGTTTACATTCATGCTCCTTGGCTTGTTCTCTTCTTTTACCTGGTGCAGTGCTACATTTTACTGCGACTTAATTGGCGTATGGAATAGAACAAAACAGTTGGAAGGAATATCTTTTATATTCGAATGATTTTATAAGTTATTTGTTTTATTTTGCTGCTATACTATAGAAATTATGATGATTATTATTATATTGTGTGCATGACCAAGGTAAAAAAAACACACAAACTAATTATCCATCTTTTATCTTCATGTGAAATAAGAAGTAGACTGTTGGAGCTTGGGGTGTCTTCTAATCCCACTATAAACTGTTTTCTTTTGGATTTTAAGTGATAAAATTGTTTTGGGTTAGGAGTAATACAAAGAATAATTCTTAAAAGTAAGAGCTAATAAATGCTCTCACCTAAAAGACAGGGACCTGACAGATGCTGCAACCCTCTCAAATATGGAGTGCCTTGGATTCTCCTCCTCGTCCTTGTCTTCTTCCTCCTCTGGCCGTTCTTTTTTCTCCTCTTCCTCCCTCTGAAAAACCAATCAGAAGAAAATCAAAGCATGTAAGTAAGCATATATTAAAGTGTATTGCTTTTGTGTGTGTATTTCTGTATTTAGGGGTTGGCGAAGGGTAAAGAAGGCGGATGTCATGTGGACTTTAATGGCAGTTCTCTTCCCTTAAACGCTGTGTGGCTTCGCAGATGAGAAAACAATACAATCGCACATACATATAAAAGCACACAGGGCATTTTTAAAGGGTGCGATGGAGATACACACACAGCTTCTTATATGCTCTCTCTCTGCCCGTGCCGCCAGCTAGATCAGAGATTAACATGGTGTTGGTCACAAGGGAGTGTGTATGTGCATGTCTGAGATGCAGTAACTAATTCAGCGTGTAGCTTAAAGACAAACAACAGTCAGCATAGAGACAACCGACAGCGTATAAGTGTTTATGGAAACGGGTCCCGAGTGATGCTAAATGGAAGCCGAGATTCTCATGATAGATCGGCTCAAGTTCCCCTGACACAGACCATGTAAACAATCTACTTCCTAAAGGATGATTTGATGCTAGATTTTCACCGCTGGATGTAATTATGCTGAACTGAAACAAAGCAGCGGACAATAAAAATGATATGTGTGCAGCTATAACGGTGTGGACTTCTTCTAATAAGGTGCACAAATGATTCGAAGGTTCTTTTGCAAAATATGAGCAAAACACCATCAATAAAATGTGATTCTGTAACGATGTTCAGTCCCCTGTGTGGGCCAGTTATGAATAATTTAAATTACTTGTATACAGTGATGATATGAAAATTTTTTCTGCTAAAATGATGAGAAGGCAAGTGATGTAACCATATAGTAAGCACAACTATAACCTTCATTAAATCTTTATTAAAGTGCTGCATGAGGGCTTTTCAAGATGGCGGTGTGGAGTAAGGTTGGGCTGGGGAGTGTCAGCGCAGAGTTTGTAATTTTCGCACTTAAAAAATCCACTGAGACGCAGTAAAATTGCCATTTTCCCTTGCTTGCTTCATGATGAGTATCAACGTGTACTTTTTGAGGCCGTCTGATAGCAGACAACGTAATAAAAGCCCTGAATCTGGCGCCCTAGAAGACTCCAATGGCGAGGCTACTAGCATCTTTGCTAATGATGGCGGATCAATGAATCCAGCACTGCAGGAGGTAGTTCGAGCTGTTAGGGCAAACCTCACTAAAGTTTTTGAGGACAAGCTGGAACCAATTTCCCAGTTCCTGCAATCACAGCAAGAGCAGCTGCAGAACCATGAGACGCGCATCACCGAGGCCGAGACACGGATCTCGGCCATGGAGGATGCCTCAGAGCTCATGGGCATCAAGGTTAAGTCCCTGGAGAAAAAGGTGGCGGATCTCGCAGAACGCCCCGACAACTTAGAAAATAGAGGGAGACGCAAGAACATCGGGATCCTCAATCTTCCAGAGTGGGTGGAGGGCAATAACCTGACGTTATTTTTGGAGGGTTGGCTCCCCAAACTTTTGAGACCAAGACTGGCCGCATCAAAGTGGAAAGAGCGCACCGCATCGGACAGCCCTCAGCCCGCGACCAGAGACCGCGTCTCGTTGTGGCCAGGCTTCACAACTATCAAGACAAACAAAGGATTATGAATGTCGTGGGACAAAAGCAAGAAAAACCAGCCATTGAAACACGGCGATGCAACCGTGATGATATTTCAAGACTACTCAGCAGCAAAAGCTTTGATGAGGCGAAGAAGCGCCTGAAGTCTGCGAGCGCCATGTATAGGATGCTGCACCCTGCCGTGCTCAAAGTCAAGCACCGCGGGACCACCACGGTGTACTCGGATCCGGGCGATGTGGATAAATACTTGGAAACATTGAAGTAAACTGCTGGGGACACCTCAGGATCGCCGGACTAAAACCTGCCCTATGGGCGCGCCGAGTCTTTATCATCTTTATGCCGTGAGTAGTTGTCTGCTGCTCAGGTATTTATGTTCAACTTAAATTCATTTTAAAAAAGCTGTAATTTAGAGACATTTGTTAATCACCAGTGGGTCATATTTCTGAGTGCTGCCACTCTCTTATGGTTTTGGTTGTGTGCGGTTTTTGTTTTATGCTGTGTTCTCACCAGACAGGAATTCATCGCGCTATTCGCGCGTTATGCGTGTATTTAGACGCGTGTGTGACTTTACTCGCTTCATTCGCGCGTATAAATCGCGTCAATCGCGTGTGAAGATTTGTGTCTGTATTCAAGTCATTGGCGCGACTGACGCGATCCAGACGCCGGATCCATGGGACCCCCCAGTGACGCACACAGCTCGGGGAATTCCTCCACCTTCTCCGGGAGCTGCGCCTGGATTACAGCCGCTTCCAGAGCTGTTGTCGGCTGATCCGGACCCAGTTTGACTACCTGTTGGAGAGGATCGGTACCAGGATATCCCTCCAGGATACCAACTACAGGCGCTCGCTGACATAGAGCCATGTTTTTTTCCGTGCCACATACAACAACACGGACGAGCGGCCGCCAGCAGGAGGACGCTGACCACAGTGATGAGGAGCCAGAGGTTTATCCCGCTAGCATTGCGATAGCTAGCAACTCGGCTCGGCTGGCAAGCTGGCTAAGTTGAAGAGTAGCATTCTTGTGTGTGAACGGGAGGAGTGGGACAGCCCGTCTGCTGAGCACTGAGATCTGCCCTGGACAGTTATGTGGCTGCTTATCTCCTGGGGTGAGTAAATCAATCAGTATTCACAGTGTAGTTGTAAAAAATGAATGAATCATGTTGTTGACTTCACCAGAGAATCTCAACGCTGATTGGCCATCGCGGCGCGTCAGATCACAAAAGTTCAGATTTTTCAACTTGCCCTGTAGACACGTGTATAAATGGCGTCAAACGCACGTCAAACTCGCTCAATTCGCGTCAATTGCGCCGTGCTAATCGCGCGACGCGGGACGCGGGACGTTTACTCGCGTCTACACATTGACTTTACATGTATTTACATCGCGCAAATGATTTTACTCGCCTCTGGTGTGAACACAGCATTAGAGTTTACTTTTGCTGTCAGGAAAGCCTTACACTTGCACTCCTACAGGTTAGGAGAAGGATAGTGTATTTTGTTCCTCCGCCGATGTTTGGCAGTGTTTGCTTTATTTTTGTTCTTTTTGTTGCTTGTAGTGTGTTATTCCGGCTTTTCCTGTATGTGAATAATTTTTTAGTACACATGTGGAACATACTCAAAGAACGTTGCATTTCATAGAAGTAAGCATAATACTATGTCAACACTTAAAATCTGTACTTGGAATGTAAATGGCATTCATACGACAATTAAATGGAGAAAGGTCTTGAATTATCTTCAGATGGAACAGGTGCATGTAGCCTTCTTACAGGAGACTCACTTAGATGCCAAAGAACATGCTAAACTGCAGCAGGGGGTTTTCAGTTATGTCTTCTCCTCTTCTTCCTCATCTCCGAGCAGGGGCGTGGCTATCTTAATCAGGAAGAACTTGCCCTTTAAATTTATAGACTGCAACCAGGACACAGGGGGGCGCTATGTGATTGTGAGAGGTGTTTTATATGGAGAGGAAATTGCATTTATGAGCATGTACTGTCCCCCTGGTCAGACAGGAGATTGTTTACTTGCTGCTTTAAACAAATTAGTTAATCTTAATATCCGAAATTCAATTGTCGGGGGCGATTTTAACTGTCATTTAAACCCACTCATAGAAAAATCTCCTGCAGGTAAACACCCATTACCTCAGGCCAAGATCATTACATCATTCTGCGAAGAGCTAGCATATGTAGATGTGTGGAGAGCACAACATCTGATGGACAAAGAGTTCACTTTTTTCCCAAAGTACATTCATGTCATACGCGAATTGACGATTTCTTTGTTCCAAAAGTAATATTATCATCAATCATATCCAGTTCTATAGGTAGTATAGTCATATCGGATCATGCTGCGGTCTTTGTTCAGTGTAGCACTGGGAGTATGTCCAACCAGCCTCGAAGGTGGCACTTTGAATTCTCTATACTTCATTATAAAACATTTTACATCATACTTTGTAGAGGAATTAAGACTGTTACTATCAATCAATGCAGCTTCCATAGATGACCCATCATTACTGTGGGAGACATCTAAAGCCTACTCCAGAGGTATAATTACCTCATACACAAAAAGTAAAAGACGACGACAAGCTGATCAGAGAGTGATATTGGAATCCAAATTGAAAGAAGCTGAACAAAACTATTTCATTAAGTCCTCAAATGGTAAATTTCTGCTATCCGATCGGCATTAGATTGTTTGTTAACAAATGAAGAAGAGCGTAAAATTAGATTTGCTAAACAAAAATTATATGAACATGGCGATAAGTCAGGAAAATATTTGGCATTTCTAACAAAAAAGAAGTCTGATTCACAAGACATCTCTTCAATATTGAATTTCCCTTCTGGGATAAATAAAGTATTTTTCATTTCAATTAAAGATACAATTGGTACACCGTTTCCGGATTGAATGGATGAATTTTTCTCTCGTCTCATTCTTCCTAGTTTAACAGATGATCAAAAATCTACTTTGAATTCTCCAATATCTAGGAAGGAATTGTTGGATGCCATTAAGGGTTTGCAGTCCAGAAAATCAGCAGGACCCGACGGACTCGGTTCTGAATTCTATAAAGAATTCCAAAGCGTATTAGTTGATCCACTTCTAAACATTTACAATGACTCCTTTGTGAAAGGCCTCCTGCTTGTCTTTGAGGGAAGCTAATATGTCATTGATACTTAAAAATGGGAAGCCGCCCGAAGACTGTGCCTCGTATCGGCCAATTACCTTATTAAACATGGATTTCAAAAATTTTCTCCAAGGTGCTAGCGAGGAGTCTGGAAGGGTTGCTTCCTTTGCTTATTAACCAAGACCAAACTGGTTTTCTTAAGGGCTGCAACTCGTACAATAACATGCATAGGTTGCTGAATGTGATACAGATCTTTCAACAAAAGTCAATGCGTGGTCTTGTCTCTCTTGATGCTGAAAAGGCCTTCGACTGC